AGTGACATATCCTACATCCAATTTAGCAACTGCTACTCCATGATTATCTGCCTAGCTTAAGACAGCTGTTGAAGCTGCCGTTCCATCAGTTTATTTCATCAAAGCATTCATTTACATAACAAGATATAACAGTAAAGCCTTTAGGATTATTATCCAATCTCTAATCCCAAACAACATCATTCCAAAAGTTTAAATAAATAAATTTTCAAAATATTGGAAAAACTAATTTCATAAAGGTTCAAAATTTCACAGAAACCAGAGGCTTTTCATCCCTCAGATCATCCTGTCAGTTTTCCAAAAACAAGCATAATTTACGTTTCCAGTTTCTCTTCTTTGGTATCAATTCCACTATATGCACCTTCCCTTTGACTTTACATAATGAACCAATTTTAGAGTAGAATAACTAACTCCTTTAAAAATTCCTCTAGAATGAAGAATGCCATTAACAGCTGGTCTTCTCCACACAGGAAAGTGCAATCTCTTTAACAGACTCCAAAATGCCAAGGAGTTCTGCCCTTCTGGCCCCACAAATTTTAGCAACCGCAAAACACAGGGAACTGTCTCAAGTGCAAACCAAGAGCCTCCGATACTTGACAGGGCTCTTTCCAAAATAAAGCATGCTTCTGTACATTCATATTATAAAGTTTAAATACCTGATCCATAACCAGATGCATATTATTAATTGTACATGTATATCATCATCTTATTACCATCTTATCACTATTAAAATAAGCAGTACTACCTACAAAATTAAGAGCTACCCAGTGACATAGTTTGGTTTTGAGGTTGGTGGATTTGGTGTTTGTTTGTTTGGGTTTTTTTAATATGAGAAGTCCGAAGACAAATTCTGTAAGCATACATGCTGGATGGCTCACAGAATCCACAAAGCACTGAAGAGGTACACCAGCAATACAACCTCAGCACGGTCTGACTTTCAGCCAGTGCCACCTCCCAGCTTTTGTACACTGCATTAAACGTTTAGGTATTGTGTAACATAATTTACCATTTTATCTAACTAAGCACTTGTAACATTTGAGATAGACACCTGTTGCAATTGCAAAATTACTGTGGAAAAAACACTTTAATGATACTTTAGAAATCAGATCAGTGTTTGAATCAGGTTTATATCAGGGCCTATTCAGTTCTCATTCAGCCAAACTCTCAAAGAGCATGTAGATGGTCATGATTTCTTAGTCTTCAGTCATGCTATGACACTTAAGATGGACTGAGGATCTTGTGATGAACATGAAGATCAAGAAAAGCAGAGGAGTTTCTGCTGAAATTCTATGCTGGGATATTTCTGATCTAGAATTTAATCTCTCTCCATTACAAAGAAAAGAAGTTTTATGCAGGTTTGGACTATAATGCCAGATCTAAATCTACTCACTTTCAATTTAAACCCATTACCCCTTGTCCTGTCACTACAGGCCCTTCTAAAAAGTCCCCCCCCAGCTTCCTTGTTGGCCTCTTCAGGTTCTGGAAGGCTGCTATAAGGTCTCCCTGGAGCCTTCTCTTTTCCAGGCTGAACAAGACGTTTTTTAAGTTGTCTCTCTTCATCTCAGTATAACCTTTATTTGTTGTGAGCCAACACCAGGTATTGTTTTTTCAGCATTTGTAATGCCCACTGCATTACTGTTCTGGAATGAAACAGGGAAATGCTTGACATCACACCAGTTGCACCAACTGGCAGTAATGCAACACACATCTATCACACAGGATTCATCTTTACAGAGCTATGCTCCTTCCATGCCTATTTCTTTTTATTATTGAGTATTTGCATAAATCCACAAACAAATGGTTTTCTTGATAATTTTGCCAAGAAAGTCTTAATTTAGGATTCTCTAGTGTTCTCTTCACAGGGTAAAGAAGCCAGGAAAAAAAAAAACAAAACCAAAACACTACCACAAACCAAACCCCAAACAGAAAAACCCCCAAAAAACCACCCACAGCCCCTGTCTCCAAACTAATTCTCCAAACTAACTGCCACGTAATAATTTCTGACAAGAAATAAACAGGTTTTATACATATATAAAATAAATAAATGGTAGCTATATGCACATAAATAAGTGATCCAGGACATACATACACACATGTCCTGGACCCATTTCTGACTTTCTGCAATACTATGCTTCAGTTTCCTCTTTTGGTTATGGCAGCTCCTGCTACAAACTTATTAAATTATTATTTCTACAGTACCCAGCCCTCCTGTCAGCCAAGGTGCCTCTGCAGAGCCAGCTCTGGAATCCACTATGGCCACAGGCTGCAAGTCATCGCACCCTGGTAGGCACAATGTTCCAGCCACACCTACGCCAGCCTCGGGCAGGGGCTGGCTAATGGAGCTGCATGATCAGTTGTGCTATAACACAGCTAATGCATTTTTTAAACTTTTCCGTTATTTCTGATGACTCAGTCTAAACCCCAAGACCTATTACTATTAAAAGACTAACATAAAGCCACTTGCAGGGGTCGTCTTTTTTTTATTTTTTTATTATTTTTTCCAACTTTATCTAAATTAGTGATGGCCCAATTACTATCACCCTGCTTGAACAGACGCATAACTGACCAGCTAACTCCAAATGGTATTTGAACTGCTTTCAACCTCCAGCTCGCACAGAAAAAGCTTATGGTTCTATTACAAGGAGGATATGATCCCCTGACAAACACGACAATAAAGCAGGCTCCAGTAGGAAAACAACTTGGTAGCTTTAAGATTCATTTACTACTCAAATTCAATGATTCATTAAATCCCTACCAATATCCTTACTTTAAAAAAAGAAAACTTACCCTGCTTCATAATTATCACCCCTTGAACCATCTCTTCACTAGATGAACTTCATGAAAAGGATATGTTGCAGAAGCTTTCTTCTAGAAATTTAAACTCTAGTAAAATACAGAACTTCATTAATTATTCCATCCTTAACAAAGTATCCAGAATCTAAAAGAACAGTCTAAGACTATGAGATTCTTGATTTATAATTTAAAAAAATGCTGAAAAACACTGTACTCAAATTAGCAAATTGAATTTAAGTGTAGTATTGATCAAGCCCACTCCAACCTAACTAAAGTTACTCTTTTTTTCCTCAACAAAAATCAGACAGCTAGTAAAAGTCAGCATATTAAAGTCCTTTTATAAAAACTTTCACAATAAAAAGTCATGCTTAACATTCCTAATGCCTCTATACAGAAGGGCTTTTATCCCCACTCCATACAACTAAACCCCTTCCTCAGCAGATGTGTATCAATCACAGTAGCAGTTTGCAAAAAAAGGTCACTACCAACTGAAGCCATGGACAGCAGAAATTTATGCTACATTACATTAAAAAGAGTATGTTATTATTGTCACCATATATACTTAAAATACTCACAACTCTGGATACACTAAAGAAAAAACAAAACACAAAAGCACCCAAAACCCTACCTATGTTTAGGCAGCCAGCTATTAATAAGCGAAGGCACTAATTTAGGAGACTGCTACCAACTTCAGTAAAGCTAGGGTTCACCTAAGAAGCTGAAGGCTCTCCAGTGTTATCTTGGAGCTATAAACAAGAGTTTTTAACCAAATACACATGAAGTTCTTAAATACAGGGCGGAGAAAAACTCTTTTCTCATGAGTGTGCAATTAAGAAAATCATCGAAGTTGTGCAACTGAATTGTTGTCTTTTAGGTTTATTTATAGTTCCCGATTTCAACATAAGTTGCATTAAACGGTACCTATTACTACTAAGCTATTAAAAATCACAATTCTTTCATCAAGTATAATTTTTTGCATTTTGGAAAGTTTTGAGAAAAGCAAGCAGCATTCAGAAACCTGTTAACTTCTGAAAGAAAGTTTTACATCAAAGCTCTGCTTTTAAATTTTTATTTTTCAAATAATAACAAAAAAAAATCCCCCACTTGGGAAAGTTGTCACCATCTCACTTTTCAGAATATAAAACTAAAAAAATTACCTATTTAAAAAAAAAAAAGACAGGACTTCAGCAAAGTATTCAGCTACTTATTGCTGTAGTTGTAACTCAAGTCCGTTTAAACCCCTACATTTCAGTGTTTGTAGCGAGATGATGTTTGGAACACTAGCAGCAATAGAAAAACCCTTTAAGACCTAGACACAGTTACACTGTTGAGTGAGAATTAGGAGAAACCATTACCATTGGAACATAATAAAGCATCCTGTACAAGTACAATTGAATTGGTAGCTAGAAAAAACAGGGTTGATTTAAAGTGCTACCCCAAAGCCTTATGTGAGACTATGTCAGTACAGAGAAGTCCTTTGCCCCCCCAACCCCCAACTGGGTAAAGCCCAGAACCACAACACTACTCCAAACATAACAAATGCAGTCTTTGCTCCATCTCAATGCCTCATCTCCCCGGCCCTCCTCTGATAGGCGGATACAGAAACTTCAAATAATCACCAATTCCAAATTTAGGTGATACGCACAAATACACTGTTGAACAAAGTCTGGACAGCAAACAGTACACCTGAGTTCAGTCATACAAACTAACTTCTGTAAATAGCATTAGACGAATATATCCAGGTCTCTAATATGAATCTAGACGTTATTTTCTTACAAAATGCATTAATAGAAATACCCAGGCAAATACATACCATACAATAGCAAAAGCTTTAAGCCCCATTTAATAAGATGACTTTCCAATTAAAAATAGAAGGCAATTAAGATTTACTCAAAATTACAATTAAGAAAAGCTTTCACAGTGCAATATTGAAACTGTCACAAAGTTAAGAAAATACTGGTATTAAAGTACAATCACAATGTTAAAGTAGACAAAACTACTATATAATGGCATATCTTCTAAAATGAAAAGGAAAGAACACAACATAGGGGACATCTGACATCCCTGCTCTATGTATCTTGTTTCCTAGTCTTCAGAGTCATAATTCTGCCTTTCTGATATTGATAGAAGTCTTGTTAAAACTAAGAGCTTCATTCTTCTTTGTAGACCAGATTCCAGAGCCTGATTACTTCTTGAAAACATGTTCTTCATCACTGCACAATTTCAAAGTAGTGCAATATTGCCATGATGTGCTGAGGCATGAACACATAGCCCGTGTACAGTGCCATTCCAACAATAGAAACTAGCATGGAATCTGAATTGCAGTTGAGGAAAAAAGCATTTGAAATAGAAAGTGTATCAGACATCACACAACTATAGCATTAAAACTTTCCTGGTAACTATCATATAACCTTACACTTAAATCAGACAGGGTCAACTGTATTCAGCAATTACAGCTACAGGAGGGACTGGCTGAACACCAAAACCCACAACACTTGCAGGAGTATCAGCTGAATTATGGAAGGACGCCTTGCAAGTTATCCACTGCCTTGTCATGAACACAAGAGGACAGGCCAAAGTGTGGGAAGGGTGAAGGTGGAACAGAAAATGGGGACTGAGAATATACAAGATTTTATGTACATCTTCCTAGGTGTTAAGCAAGTCTTGCAGAAGCCAGTCCTGCTCAACCAAGCAGAAAAAAAGTCAACCATCACCACAAAAAGCCAAAAACCACCAAAACAAAACCATGATAATATTTGTAGGCATACTGAATAAGAGTTCTTATTTGTGGATGACCTACTCATTTTTAAACAGACAGCCTCAGATGCCGATCACAACTTCTTGGAACAGTATGACCTAATAAATGTGATCTATGATGCATGAAACACCTGGTATGAAACTTGTACTATTAGGGTAGTGTAGTCAGGAAACCTCAAGTCCACTTCTAGCTGTCAGCGTCCTCTGTGTTTTACGTCACGACATTATTTGGTTCATTGATTAGATGTCAGGAAGAAATTCTTCACAGAGAGGGTGGTGAGGCACTGGAACAGATTGCCCAGAGAAGTTGTGGATGCCCCATCCCTGGCTGTCTTCAAGGCCAGGCTGGAGGTGGCTTTGAGCCACCTGGTCTAGTGCAAGGTGTCCCTGCGCACGGCAGGGGGGTTGGAACTAGATGATCTTTAAGGTCCCTTCCAACCCTAACCATTCTATGATTCTATGATTTCTCCATCTGCATGTCACACTCACAGCCTTCCTCACAGGCAAGCAACTCAATCTACATATCATTTGACAGTATTTTGGCAATAGAAACTGCAGGAGGAATGAAAATTTCTAACTATTTCACTCACAAAGCCTCAAAGCATCAGCATGTCTGAGAGTCAGCTTGTGTATTTAAACAAATAGATACTCAGTAGTACTTCACTATAGCAGATCACACTGCAAAACAAACTGCACATGAAGTTATCTGCTAAGCAATATTAAAGCCACCACTTTATTAGCTGAACTCCTAAACAGGGACCTGCTGTAAAACTTACCTAGAGGAGTGAGATGACAATTCATAATGTACAACTGGACCTTGGTCAAGCTTTCGGGTTCAAAGCTTTATCCACAGAAATTATGGCATCAGCTTACTAAAAAGATTATGCTATTTGAAGTTTAACGCTTCAGAAACTCCAAGTACTCTAAATTAAAAATAACCTGCCAATTTCATCCAACTGCCTGCACAGATTCAGTAAACTCAGGCAGAAACACTATAAAAAGAACTGGTGATTAACAAGCATGATAACGCTGGACTCAGTTTCCACAGCTGAAACCAGAGGGGCTGCACATGTTCTGTATCTCAAGAAATAAAATCACCACACTATGTGTGTAACAAATGCTCTATGACCAACTTCACCATGGTAAGGCATGGTAAGCTATCAGCTGCACTTATTAGAGCGTAATAGCTTCTTGGTGTATTTTTAGTCCCGGAAGACTATACAGTATGAGATACCAAAAGGAAGGTCAACTCATAAATACACGTTTCCATATCAGGACTCAGTTATGATTCTGGAGCACAGGCAGCAGTGTGACACACAGAAGAGCCACGCACCGTTAGCTCCCAAGGCCACTGTGTCTGCACTGCATCTGTACAGCGCCCAGCAGACCTGGCCCACCTACAGTGAGCGTCCAGTCTGAGGACAAAAAACAGTTCTGCTGACCCAAGACTGCAAGTGATACTTGTGCCACTTAAGACATTTGTAAGTTCAGTGGCAATTACTTCATTGCAATGTAAATATTTTATAGAAGTAAACATACACACACACTCTGATTTACTTACATATTCGGCATAAGTCAAAAAGCTGCATAGTTGACACAAAAGGAAAAAAACCACACTCATGACTAATATAATTGCAAGAAAAGCAAAGATGGAGTTTCCTCACTGATATAATCATGGCACAAAAAGAGGAAGGTATGTTAGCAATGAACACAGTATTTTGAAAGTAAGAAACTCTACTTAAACAACTGCACACAGTAAGTCTGTAATTATTGTAAAAGAGAAATAGTAAGTTATTGCCACTTCGACTAACTTTACACATGAAAAAAATGTCTGATTGCACAGCTGTAACTTGGGCAACCAGTTCTACATAACAAAAGCGAGTTCCTTTATAAAACTGACCAGTAGCTCAGTGAAGGCAGCTTCTCACTACTACTTACACCCTTCTCTTTGTTGATGTTGTTAATTTCTCTCTCTGCCTCTCAATATTAACTGGAGATGGCTCAGTTATTCACATGAGATACCATTTGAAGTCAACATCAAAGAAGTCCCACTTCATAAATGTTATGGCACTTGCAGTGCTATACCAACACTTGAGAGAACATACTGCCTGTATGAAAGGACTGGGTAAAGAAGCAAACCTGTAAATATCCTTTATACAGATGACTTTCACATTAGCATCTATAAAGTTCTTCCACTTCAAAAGAGTCAACAAACTTACCAGCTCGAGGATTAAATACTCATCTAATAAAATCATGTGACAAAGCACCATGCACGTTTACTTTCCACTAGGCAAAAATACAAAAGAATTCATGAACACCACCTATCTTAACACAAGCCTCGAGATTTCACTGCAAAGGCCAGGAGAAAGAACTACCATAACTCCACAGAAGAAAAATTAAAGAAGAAATAACTTCGAGACATAAACTTGTGCCCGAGGACAAATGAGCTAGACTGCTAGACGCCCAGCGACAGGATGCTGAACTCCAGCATGAGTTACTCCCCAACTGGGTCAGCACGTCAGTTTGCGAAGGTGAGGAGCTTCAGCCCTGGCCCGCAAGGAGGGGTCCAGCCCCACTTCCGGGCGGAGGCTGCC